CAGAGCAAATCAAAGCAGCCAATCAGAGGAACCCTTCGCGCATTTGTGGTACGGAAAAAATAGACGCGTACGGGCCGCATTAGCAGCGCATGCATTTTGCATGCGATCTCACGAAATTTCAATGAACCCCGTTCTGTCCCAATAACTCTCACCAAAATATAAAAAAAGGTTATATGGGACAGAATTATTCGGTCTATTACTATTAGTATTAGTATTATAAATACTGTGCATGACTGTTTCTTGGGGCTGTGCGTCAATTCGAGAGAACGTAACAATAACATTACAGTCTACAGTACGGACTACATCATCATCATCATCATTATTTCGGCTAGCTCTAGTATTAATAACTATAGCCCGCGTACGGTTGCCGCTGGTGGCTTGCCAGCGGCAACCGTACGTAGTATATAATATAGTTTATACTAGAGCTAGATTTCGGCGCGCATATTTTCCTACCGAGTACTGGCTACTGCCGTAATTTACTAACAATAACAGCAATGTTATCTAATGTACTGATTTTATATCAATCAGTAAAAGGAAGTAGACACATAAATAAATCATCGTATATGGTAAAAGCGTATCAACTTTACTTTTAGTGTGATTCGTAGGGATAAATACTCACAAACCGTGTTGTTTTCAATGGCGCAACGCGAATATTTCGGTTTCAAATGCCCTCCACTGCTGGCTAGCCAATCAACGCTCAGCATATGAAATTTCCCAGACACCATTGCAGATCATAGTAAGTTCGGCTGGTGATTCTATAGGGCTTAAAAATAATAAATTAATTAGTTTTAGTTACATTATGTTCTTGAGTCACAGGCGTTATGCCAACAGTAATTGGTTATAGAAAAATAAATTGTCAACGTTTGAACTGTAAATATTATATATAATATGGATAAAACAGCAAACCCGCTCACTATGCGTTAGACGGGTACGCTAGTTAGTTGTATATGTATAGTATGACAATAAACTCGCAGTGCTACCAGTCTAAAATCAGGCTAGGCACGAATCTCGGCGTATCTCGCGTGAGGCGTCGTCGGCTGTTTCTGTTACTAGCCAAAGTTTAGGTTTTAAAATCATAATAGCGTTGAAGTGAAGCGTTAATTTAGAGGCTATATCTATATATATTTATAAGATATATGTGTATATAATTTCGCAATGTCAAAAAGCAGCGATACAAATTATAGCCAAAGTTATAAGCTTGTTGTTGTTGGAGGTGGTGGTGTTGGGAAAAGCGCGCTTACTATACAATTCATACAGGTAAGTCGCTAAGTGTAACTGTAAGCTAGTTTCAGGCGGTTACATCCTGCATAGCTCTAGAACTATATCAATATGATACTGATAGTATAGGCTAGCCCTTTGCTCTGCCACAGGGCTATGGCACAAACTATTTTGAAAATGGGCAACGAAACTGCTCCCAGGAGGGTCGCCGATCCTATCGGCTCACAGAACCTGAGAACGCAAAATGAGCGCTTTTGTTTTAGTTTTGGTTCAAGGATAGAGAACATGAGATGATGAGTCCCAATAAAACCAATGTCATTTACATCAATATAAATATAATATTACATCAATATAAATATAATATTACATCAATATAATAGGTTAGGGTTAGGGTTAGAGTTAAGGTTAGAATTAGGGTTAGGCTTAGGCACATTGTCATTGGTTTTATTGGGACCCATGTTCTCTATCCTTGGGCCGAGCTTTTTAACACTTACGACAGTACAGACTACAGACTACAGTGACAGTACATCATCCTCATGGACCTCTTAGTCTTACCTATCTATCTTTTTGAACACTTCACAACTTTGCACCATGCATTTATTCATTTATTCCTTAAAGTCAAAGTCTTACTCTTAGCACTACTTGCAAATTCCGTTCATATGCTCGCGTACGTGGGTAACGTCATCCGAAATGTAGGCAAAAACACGGGGCATGCCGCCTATTTCTCATGGTGGGTGAACTGGCACTTTTCTAAACATAAACATGTTGCCTGGCAACCTTGTAAGTTGTATCAGTGCCAGTGCTATACCCACACCCCCATGAGTAATGGGCTGCCCTCGTTTTTAGCTCACCTTGACATCATCAAGATGAGCTATTGCCATGGGTCGTCGTACGTCCGTCCGTTCGTCCTTCCGTCAACATTTGGCTACGGTCAACGATAACTCAGGAACCGTTTGACCCACATGTGTGAAATTGGGTATAGTTGTTACTGCTATGCTCTTATATTGAACGTCCTATTTTGGAGCACGCCAGTCGACGTACTTTCGAGCCACGGCAATTTTTTTGGCAAAAATGGGAATTGCCATTAGTCAGTTCAGGTTCAACGTTTTTTACTCATTTTTGGTATGTGAATGAATAAGGTCCAGGGGCTTTTATATTTAAAAAAAATTATGCAAATTAGGTAGGTTTAGGCAATTATATAGCATATTATGTTATAGACACGCAGATAACAGTCTGTGGTGTCACACTCGTCTGGTTCGTTTTACAAGATTTCATTGACAATATCTTTAATGCAAAATTGGTATTTCCTCTCCACCCTGTCGATAAAACGTATATATTAGAGTAAAGTTTTACAAAACATGTCGGAACGCAGCATAACCTATTTATTTCGCTAATCGCTAAGAAACATCAAAGCGGGTATAGCGCCATCTACCGTCACAAATTGTGATTCATTTTGGTTTATAAATTATTGCGATATACAGATGGCAACCATGTGCTACCGCCTAGAAAAACTCATACAAAGTAAACACTTCCATGCAACCAATTAACTTTTGACAAAAGTTGTGTTATGGGCAGGGAAACACCATTGTCACGTGGTATATAGTGCTCAGCTACGTGGAATAAGCGTATCCTCTCAATCTTATACGTTACACATTGGGAGCTCCGCTTTTAGGCAGTGCCTAAATCTGAATATTATAAAAACGTTAAATGGCGATCATTTAGGTGTAACGCCATCACTCGCCCACATCTCAGACTTTCACATCTCAAACATTTATTTTCACATAAAAAAATTACACATATATTTATCAAGAGTATATAATGGTAGTTCTCCCATATATACTCTTCGTTTCTATAATGTACGTCGATGGTTGCTCAATTAAAACTGACTTTTTCTCACTCACTCATTTGTGTCCTTTTTTGTGGTGAGCTACAGTGTCATTGACACTTTCTTTCATTTCTATGATGATCTGTTCTGCGTTGGAGCAGAGGGAGCAGTTTTGTTGCCCATATTCAACATACTTTGTGCTATAGCCCTGCTGTGGCGGAGCGAAGGGCTATAGTTCTAGAGCTACATCTTACAGTGATGTTTCAAGTAAGAGGTTGAGGGATGTGCCATCTGCTGATGTGTTGCTATTTGGGAATTGATGATGGTACTACCAGTTTACTATAGTTCAATGGTGAAGTCTGCAAGAAAAAGGTCACAAGAAATCTAAGTCATTGTCTCCAAGACGTAGATTCCGTCTATCAGTGGAATTTATAACGTGCACTGTGAACTCCTGCGTCATGCACTCCAAATCTATCTTGTTTGCCTTAACTTATAACTTATAAGCACAAATGAGTCACTTTAATACTCTTTGGTTAAATCACAAGTTTTATTAAGAGTTTTCTCACATAAAATTCTGTTTGATCATTCATTCCGATATTTTCTAATTATTCTTATTATTTAATCTCTATTTCTGATATTTTTCCATAAAAAAATGGCTTAGTGATTGGTTAGCGCTTTGCCCTATAACATTAAGCAGTTGCTTAACAAGAATTAAAAGGGTCAGTTCGATATAAAAACTCAGTCATGGCTGAATAGAGCTCCACCTTACAGATAAATAGGTAAATATTCGAGTATTTGCATTGTCATGTTGAAGCATAATTTATGCTTCGTGTGGTAAATCAGCATAATTCAAACCCTGTTTGAGTGAGAATAATAGTGAAAGCTAGGATAGTGTTCTTATCCAACTGAAAATAATGTTAAAAGCTACAATCGCATTCTATTATAGACTATACAGGCCTCGACACTTATTTTCAGATCTGGTTGTCCAGTCGGGCAACAAGAAGCAATTTTTACTTGTCCAAATTTTTATTTTACTTGTCCAAAATTTACTTGCAATCTATGAGGGACTGTAAGGTCCATTTTTTTGGTTCAGTACATATCATATTACTAGGAGTGTATAATATAGAGATCTATAAATAGATATATAAATATACATATAGATAGATACATAAATCTATATATTATATATAAAGATATATATCGATATTATACACTCTTGATATTACAGATGGAAAATCGTAATGAAATTCACACGTTTATTTTTGCGTGCCAGCATGCTCATTGTGTGTCATTCCCGATTGCAGCTTTTTCCTCAATTCCAGAAAATTATTTTGCTGTCGTCCTCTGATCCCAGCATTGCCCACCCCCTAAGTTTAACCCAAAATTCCCACCCCATATTAAGTAATGAACATGCCCCTCGTGAAAAACAATCGTGCACACACCCCCTCCCCCCCTGTACATCACTCAATGCTGCCCCAGCCAGTCAGGTATACATAGCCACGCTGTTGCGGGCTGCTTTTTTCAGCGACCTTTGAAAATATAATGTGAGAATGTCGTGTGATAGCACCCTGGCTCAAAGGATGTTAGGAATATTAAACAACTAGAATTTTTCAGTTGTCCGTTCGGGCAACTAGCCAAGAGAATAACTTGTCCGACATAGACTTTTATTTGTCCCGGGCATCGGACAACCGTTAGTGTTGAAGGTTGCTAAATATGTGTTTTATCATTGGTTCTGATATTACTTGATATTTGTGTCAGCACAGCATTAATAAGATAGAGCTGATTTTTTTGTTGAAATACACCGTCTTTGTACGTTTTGCCGCTGATCAATTCGCTAACAGTAACATATTTGCCATGTGCTCAAAAATTGAGCTATCGGCCGCCAACTGGGTCACATGCAAACATAACACTGATATTAATACCGCAGTTGAATGTAAACAGAAAGAACATCAGTTCCGACTAAGGGTTCATTCACGATTATCGTGTACACAAACCATACACTAAAGGGGAGTAGTTCAACGACAGTTGTACGCTTTTAGAAATGCAAAGAAATGTCGATTCATACATTTCCTCTAAATATATTATTGTTCAACTTCATTTATTTCACCACAGTACTTGTAACAGATATAAGTGGATACAGCATATATATATGTATGTGCATATGTATGCGTGTGTATACATGTGAGTGTTCGTGCATTCATTCAACAAATCTGCCTGTTGGCTCTGGATGGGAGGATGCAAAAAAGAACCCCTATAATAATATCTTCATCTCTCCATGCCTGTTGGCAGCATCAAAAGTAAATCGAATGAAGACCCCCCCCCTCTCTCTCTCTCACCCTCGCTTGCTCTCTGACCCTTTTTCACCCTCCCTCTCTCTCTGCCCCCCTTTCTCCCCCTCCCTCGCTCTCTGCCCCTCCCCTTTCTCTCATTCTCACCTTTCCTCTCTCTTACCCTCCCTCACTGTCTGCTTCCCTCTCTTACCCTCCCTCGCTCTCTATCTCCCTTCTCTCTCACCCTCCCTTGCTCTCTGCCCTCTTTTCTTACCCTCTCTTGTTCTTTGCCCCCTCTCTTACCCTCCCTCGCTCTCTGCCCCTCCCTCTCTCTCTGCCTCCCCCTCTTCCCTCTTTTGTTCTCTGTCCCTCCTTCTCTCCCTCCCTCTCTCACCCTTCCTCTTTTCCTCTGTCCCTCTCACTCACTCTCCTCTCCCTCTCTACCTACCTACACCCCCTGTCTCCTGAATGGCACTAGCTTCTGGTGCCTGTAGAGATGTTTATCATAATTCTCTTTAATGACCGTTCCTCTCTGAATAGATTCACAAGTTATGCTAGCTTCTCAAGGTGAAAGCAGAAGACGGCTAGAGCTGCGTTTCTACCCACCAGTGTGGAAACGTTTAACGACTAATGAAGATTGTTTATTAGATGGTCAAGTGGGCGATGTATACGAATACTTGTGTGGTTTTCCATCCTAGTCTATCATCTAAAGCACGCAGTGGCGGCTAGCATCTTGAAAAGTTTGTTGCTGAAACACGAAACGCAGCTCGGAGAACAGGCTGCAGCGGTTTTCGTTTACTGGGTGGTATTTCCCGAGTATGTCTCTGTATCTCTCTGCCCCTAAAAACATCTGTTGAGCATTTGTCGGCCTTTTTGAGAACTTTTCGCACATAGTTCGGCCGTGAATGGCAATAAATTCGAGGGAATTGCTGTTGCCACACAAGCACTCCAAATTAGTGTGCAAGTATAGGATAGATAGAAGTACATAAAGGAATGCAACATAAGTGAATGCCTGCTAAAGATCAAGCTGAGCTAAATGTTTATATGTTTTACTATATGTAGGGCCGAACACCTGTTCAGCAGACTAGGTTGCGGCAGCTTGCAAGAAGTTACTCGTGCTAGGCTTACGGTATTGCCAATGGTTACTACCGTATATGATCGCGTAATAACCGCGGGCGCCTATAAGCCGCACCTCAATTTGAATCGGGTAACCAAGTATTGCGCCTAGACGTATATTTCCCCTCACGGTATGGTGCACTTATAAACTGCAGAGCAAATACAGGGTTGAAATCTGAGGCCAAATTCGCGGTTATTACGCGAGTATATACGTTAGTAGAACTTTTACGATTTCTCACACACGCGTAGTTCAGTTTGCAGTGTAGTGGTGATCGTGCTTGGCTTTCCTTAATTTATATACACCATTAACACCAGATCAGACAGTTTGCCTAATCAAAATTATTGGGTTAGGTTTTTACTACCCAAATAAAACTAAAAATAAAATAACTTCCTACAGCATCCGTGACTGCACGCGGTTATAATTACACGTACTCGTCTTATACGCAGTTTCTGATGCAACAAGTGTTGAAAGGCCATTAGAAATGAAAATGTTGAAGTTGTTACTTGATTATCATTTGATTCGTTTTCGAAAATTAAATGCCTCTATTCTCTAAAGACACTCTTCTGAGCTTTACTTTTTTTCTTGCTTCATGTACCTCAGAACTGTGACTATAGGGGGGGGGGGGCAACCCCTGTGACAGTTGTAGGTGAAGGGGAGGTAGGAAACTAGCAATTGCCATATACTATTTCTTATAGGGGTAGAAGATAAAAGTGCAGGGTACTAATCTCACGCCACTAATGCACGCACACAACACAAACGCCCACCTGCACACACACACACGCACACGTGCGTGCGTACTCACACACCCACACATACACACATGTACACACGTGCGCGCACAGGAGTGAATGAAATGTTAGTCTGATGAATGTATTTTGTCTTTTCATTTAAATACCTATTGTAAGAATTACAGTGTAATTTGTCTTCCAGCATGGAGTGACAGTGGTTGCTCCGGCGGGCCTCTTCCGGAAAATCTTCGATATTTTACTGATAAATATGACAGTAGTGTGACATATGATAGTATAGTGTAGTATGGTATGTGGTATGATATGTTATGGTATTGAATAATATGGTATGGCATGGAATGATATGGTATGGTTTGGTATGGTATGATATGGAATGGTATAGTATAGTATAATAGTACTATGTTATAGCATAGCATAGTATGTGTAGTTTTAATAGTATGCTCTTTGCCTTACAACACTAGTGCTAAGATTCTACATGTTCGATGCTGCCAACTGGTGAAATAGGACAATATGAATCGTGCTGCTGCAGATGTTTGAGTTCACATGAGTAATTCTACAATTTTATTCCAGTCGTATTTCGTAACAGACTATGATCCAACTATTGAAGACTCCTATACTAAGCAATGTGTGATTGACGATGTAGTGGCTAGACTTGACAGTAAGTACTTCATGACTTGTGTGCATGTGTGCTTAGGTATATACATATAGTTTTACCCTTATGTAAGGTTCATTCAAGGGAAACCCTAAAAGTTTCCCTTGTAAACAGATGTCAGTTATATAGAGATGGTTTCAATATATGACTGCCACTTAGTGCAAGTGCCAGAAGTGTTTTATAGACAGGTGTTCATTCTGGGGTGTAGTGGGTCCAGGGATCCCCAACATGTGCCACTGTGGATAGTGGAATGTAGGAAATCTGATATATTCACATTCATGAGGAAGGGTACTTGGTGCCATACTGGCTTTAGAATCCCATGTTTATATCAGCAGTGCATCATATATATATTATATTATACTATAATATAGATACTCTATACGCTCCTGTTTATGACAGAGTGATGCTAATCTGCATGCTGCATAGTATTGAGATGTATAGTCTGTGGTAATGGTGTCTTATCTTGATGTCCTGTAGTTTTAGACACAGCCGGCCAGGAAGAGTTCAGCGCCATGCGGGAGCAGTACATGCGATCAGGAGAAGGCTTTCTTCTCGTCTATTCGATCACCGACCGAAACAGGTGAGCTGTCTGCAAGCTCTGCGTGTCTCCTGCCACACCTGTGCACTGTCTGCAAGCTCTGCGTGTCTCCTGCCACACCTGTGCACTGTCTGCAAGCTCTGCGTGTCTCCTGCCACACCTGTGCACTGTGTGCTGCTGGTGTGATGTTCGTGAAATGCACGCAAAGCTCAAATCGTTCGCATGGTGATTAAAATGCAATTTGGTGTGCAGCCATTTATGTTGGTGCGAGCCTGGGGTCATTTACTCCCTGCACTCTTTATTTTAGTGCTAAATCCCCTAATTTTATATCAGCAATCTTGAGTATGTGTGATTCCCTGCATAATCTCTTATAGATAACCGAAAATACAAAAACTTTGAAAACGATACAGTTTTGGGTGTTATAAAATCATATTTTATGATAGCATAATGATATGATAACATTAAAATATATGTTATGTTATGCGCCAGTTACATCGGACGCATACGTTACTTATGGTCTCTAAAAGCTTCTGTTCTCTTGTTCGTGTTGTGAACTATCTCATTTTGCTCCTGGATCCCTCTATTTGTGGGTGGAGTGCCCAACAAAAATGTTTGTCTAAACGTAGCAGTAGCCTTGTGGTACCGTGGATGTACCCTGTAGTACCCATGGAGATTTTGCGCTACAATAGCATAAACCACGCAAATAGTGTTGGAGTAGTGTTGCAGTTGTGTACCAACATTCAATATGTTCCGATCGAGAGTGGTGTGAGAAAAGACGTGTCCTACTATTGAAAATGAACAGATACTGCTGTACAGTCATATATGTGATTATATCTAAAAGATGTCTATCCAACATGTAAGACCTAAAAAAAAAGACGTTTGTTTCCGCTAACCCGACCGAGCCCATTTTTAACCGCCATGTCGAAACTTTTTATTGTGATCAGCAAAAAAAAATCCCAACGTGATATCGATCGGTGAATGCATTGATTTGACTGAAGTCATTATATGGGCTGTTATAAGTACATAAAGCAACAAGTATTGTTAGAATACAAAAAAAAATTGATAAAAAAATGTTTTGCCTGCCTACCGTGTCCAATTTAGCGGAAACAAACATCTTTTTTTTCTTAGGCTTAATGCAGGTAAGTGTACTGGCTCAACTAATGCTGTTAAAGAAAAAGTGCTGTGAGTTTATATAAATACTTGAATTGTAACTCGCTTTACATTGCAGTTTTGATGAAATTTACAAGTTTCACAAACAGATTCTGCGGGTGAAAGATCGTGATGAGTTCCCTATGCTGCTGGTAGGGAACAAAGCTGACCTTGACCACCACAGACAGGTGAGAATACATACTTTACACAGACAGGTGATGTTAGATACCTTACACAAACAGGTGAAGTTAGATACCTTACATAGACATGTGAGGTTAGGTACCATACAATTACATGTAAGGGTAGATACCATACAAAGACATGTAAGCTTAGATACCTTACATTGACAAGGGAGGCTAGGTACCTTACATAGGCAAGAGGTTAGGTACCTTACATAGGCAAGAGGTTAGGTACCATACAAAGACAAGTGCGGTTATATTTCTTATGCAGATGTGTGCCTAGATACCTTACACAGACAGATGAGGTTATACACCTGACGCAAATTGGTGAAGGGTGGTATCTTGCATAGACAGCTGAAATGTGATACCTTACACAGACAGGTGAAGTGTGATACTTTGCATAGCCTAGCGAGCTGCCATACATAACAACTACACTTTGGATAAACTTTACTGACACATTCTAGATGTTCTCGTCTATCTACAGGTATCCTCAGAGGAAGCACAGCACCTGGCACAGCAATTGAAGCTACCCTTCATGGAGTGCAGTGCCAAGGTTCGCATGAACGTCGATCAGGCCTTCCACGACCTCGTGCGGATAGTCAGGTGAGCCTGCGAAAAGGCGCTGCAGATACAATACAGTTGAGTTCAAGCGATCGAATAGCTGCTGTTGTTGTTATCGATGCGTGCATGCGTGCGTGCGTGCAACCGTGTGTGTGTGTGTGTGTGTGTGTGCGTGCGTGCGTGCGTGCGCACGTGCGTGCGTACATGTGTGTGTATGTGTGTGCGTGCGCGCGTGCAACCGTGTGTGTGTGCGTGTGTGTGTGTGAATGTGTATGCGCCCGTGATTGTACGTGTCAGCGTGCACCCACTCCACCCCTCGCGCTCATGCTTTGATGCTTGGTGTAGGAGATTTCAAGCGGCAGAGCGACCACCTGTGAAGCCGAAGCCCCAGAAGCGACGATGCACCATCTTGTGAACACTGCGAGATCAGCCATGAGCAGGCGAGGGCAGTGGCTCGTAGGCACCGTGTTACACGGTTCGTAGTTGATTAAGAGTTTTAGAATTATCACAATGCATCAGCGATTTTCCTCGCGGAGGTTAATGTGCACTGCGACTGTCTGCATGTGAAGGGTAGCATCCACGTTTGGGTGAACGTGTTTAAGCATTCGTGCGGGCAGCTATTTCAGAGACCAGTTTACCTACCCACGTTTCTGACAGAATTGCCTTCCTCGACGAATGCGCTTCTCTCGTAAAATCTACTATGGCTTTTTTTCTCTTTCCTCGCGGACTGTTGGACGGAAACGTCGACATGCGTGTGTGAGTTGACGTGTGTGCGGTTGTGACAGTCGATTTTTACAAAGGGCTGCAATTAGCCTGACACCGATTGGAATGTGGCTTCACTGTGATTTCTTCTTCTGGTATTGATAGGGGAGTTTAGGTATTAACAGAAGTGAATCTGTAGGCACACCTTACGTGTGATTCTGCAGCTGAGTATGTTAACAGGTTAGCCATTATGAACAAACCGCGTATATGTTCAGCATCGGTTGGTTAATGAGGCAGCAAATACATGCCAAAATAGCAGCTGCGTCACTGGCGCTAATCCAGGTATATTGATCGAGTATAGATGCCACATTCTAGTTGCAATCGTCACTTGGCTGCTCACATATACATGCATTGTATAGCTAGTGAAAAAATGTTCCAAAAGTTGGAGTCGCCATGTTGGCGTTTCCGTAAACTGACAGCGAACGCGTCTTTCATGCGTGCTGAGAATTGACGTGATCCGAGACAGATTATGCTGCAGTCTACCCTCCCTGTTGTTCTAAATGTCGTTCCACACAAGTGCCTTTTAGTTTACCCCTCCCCAGGTTTCGTGTGTAGGTCGCCGTGACTCGTGCACACCTCTGTGTGTGTCGAGCATGGAATGAGACCTGCTCTAGCTCACTGAGGGCTCGTTCGTGTCGTCAAGACCAATTTATCATGATTACACATATCATTAGGTGCACGTTGTGCAAGCGATACGTAGTAGAAGCACAGCTGTGCGCTCTTGGCGTGGCGCTGGCTTTGGAAAGTATCTGTGATCTCTTGAAACGCGACAAACGGCTCATAACAACAAATAGTGGCTGGTTTTATTAGTTTTCTTAGTAATTTTCTGTTTAGTATCTGGTCTTATTAGTGGATGGTATTTGCGAACATGTAGGTAGTTTGACTTTAAGTTATATAACTAAACCTCGTTATAATGTGTTACTCCCACAAGTTACAATTCCTAACCCTACTTGCCTAACGAGTTATAAAGTCCTTCTTCACCCGTTATGAAGCTTACCCCACAGCTATAAAGCCTGCAACCCCAGCATAGATACCACTTTCCCGCAGTTATTCCATCGTGAATGTACCAGATTCCTGTAATTGTTTTCATTTGCGTTCTCTAATGGCCATTTTCATTGCGATTTTTTTCACTCAAATCTCCAGTCCAAACTTTTAATATGTGTTATCTATATATTGTGCATGTACACACAATAATTTTACACGTACATATCTCTGATAGGTGCCCGTGTGACTATTATTACTGAGAAGGTTCCGTTATGCATAATCACAAATCCCAAAAAAATTACTATATATGTTACTGCTTTCATTTTTTTGAAATCATATTCTGAAGTAATGTGCAGCAGATGGATAATTTGTGTCCTTCTGGCTTTACTTAATTTGAAATTAAACTTGCGTGTTATTATTGTGATAAAATCAAGCCAAAATCAAATGTAATCTTTATGTGTTCTATTGACCTGTTAGCTAGATACCAACGACAATCACTTTTTTGCTACTCGCATAATGTGTAAGAATCTTGTTTGCATGATCAATTCTTAGTGGGGACAATCAGTAAAATTATCAAGACTATAAGAATTATATTCATCAGTGCTATTTTAATTATATATATATTGTTCTTAGGATAAGGCTGTGACATGCCAGGCGTGTAGTTGGAAACATAGTCAAATAGTCTCTCTACTCGAGTTGCTCTCAGTAAACCTGCCGTCTAATGGCATCTGTAGCGCTTGCATCAGACTGTTGATATCAGCAGTAGCATATATGTATCAGCCTGTGTATGGCAGTGGGAGTGCCGGGCACAAGCCCAGTGGTGACAGAAGTAACGTGTGTGTCAGCCACTGCATCAGTTTCATTTGACTATGTGTGTAATAAGGATGTGTTACGATTTTTTTGTCACACAAACAAAAGGATAACATGGGTTATTTTCCATTAAATTCCACTATTCAAGGAAGTTATTAAGCTTAATTAGGTTACACTATCTATTATTGTTGGTAAATGACTAAAATCCTGGTTTAAAGGTTGCTACTGTGTTATGCATGGTGTCATTGCAGGTGCTGCCTCTTGTGCTGATGAGGTATGTTTTTATATTGCACATTACAATAATGGACTGAATAATATCAGGAGTGAATAATAGAAAATCTCTATTATTCACTCCTGATAATATCAGCTCTCATTGTTAGTTTCAGTGAAATTATGCATTATAAATGCTACATAAACATTTTATCATCATTGAGATTCGTCTCACTACCGTTGATCTCCTATGTAATACAGTCAGAAAATTTCACACTAAAAAATTCATAGATTCTAATGTACCATTAGAAATCACCCCAAATTTAACAGAAATTATTCATAAACATTATAAACTAAAGTAATGTTATTTTTTCATTGTAAAAGTTTCTAATGATATTAAAATACCGTATATAACATCGTAATATACAATCATAGCAGTGTGTACAATAACAAAGTGGTAACGTCAGTTTCTGTGTGCCCATATGCGTGCCTTTGCATAAGTGAGTGCAGTTTAAATCTGGAGTTAGCTGGCAACTTCTTAAACTGTGTGCCTTACGACTTGTAGTAGTATGGCACCAAACAATTTAAATACTTTTTAGTGGTATGTGCCTGATTGCTAATCGTAGTAATAGGGTAGTCTATATACGGTGAAAACGTATTCATATCAGGTGCCTTATTACTGATTGCAGTATTAGGGTAATGTATAAGGTTAGCTCTGCTTTCTACTGCGAACCTCAATATTAATTACAGTATTAGAGTTACTAACGTATGAGTTAAGCACTTCTTTGTACTGTGAACCTCACTACTGATTGCAGTAATAGGGTAATGTATACGGTAAACACATCTTTAAGCCACGTGCCTTACTATGTGTTGCTTTATATTGGCTCCAACCACTTGTTTTGCTTTGTTCGAACTGGTCGACCTGACAAATTCTGCAAGGAGATTGTACAGGGGTTTGAGAGACAATTAAATTTTCTACTCAGGCGTTGATCACGTGTGCTAATGCAACGTGAACCCTGGCCACCATGACATGTCGATTCTTAACTGGCAGAACGTCTTTTTGCGAGAACCCGATACTGTTTTACTGTTTTAGATGCAGATGCTCGCTGATAACTCGATATGGAGACGCTGGCATTTTACGTTTCTGTGTAAAGAGCCCACTTCCTGGCACATCTCACAGAGTAGCTACTTGCTTTGTAGAATTACAGAACATCCCCACCGGTGTGGTCGGCCGTCGATTTCGCTGTGTGCATCGTCAATCGCTTCATCTCTGTGTAATCCTCCTGGCCAGGTCACCTGGGATACTTACGGGTCATACACCTGTATCAACACCGTACTGAGTCGACGACCCTGCTTAGGCACGTGTAGCTCTAGAACTATAGCCCTTTGCTCTGCCACAGGGCTGTCGCAGAGCGAAGGGCTATAGTTCTAGCGCTTAGGCACGTGCAGAAGAGTGAGGGTTTCTCACCTACCTGCCATGGCATCACTGATCTTTGACCCATGGCCCCACCCCCACCGCCGACATGTGGTACCGTCTCGATCATTATCCTCCCCCTCCTCCCCGCTTTCATGTAATTGTCACCAGATGACTAGGTGTTGTGTGAACTTCTTCCGTGTTTTGACAACCGTTATAGTGTTAGAGATTCTGTCCGCAGCACGGAGGATGACACACCGCAACCACATGTTTCAGCACTTGGTCACAATCTACCAGCTAACGAGCCGTGTGGTTAGGAAGCCGAGGTCTCATTCACTAGTTAGCCCTAGAGTGTCACTGGAGACCCCTTTGTTGACACTGAAGCCCCCTTTGTTGACACTGAAGCCAAGGTGGTCACTGCCAGAGTGTTTTACGTCCAGACTACTGGAGACGGACCCACCATTTTACGTGGTTATCTGAGCCATGAGGGCTTCACAGTCATCACTGTCGGAAGCCAGGTTTGGCTAACGCTCCATTAGGAGTGTTCCCAACTTTGATATCATTAATGATTAATGATTAATGATTGATATATGACCATGACCATATACATATATTATTATATTATTATGACCATTAATGACATTAAAGTTGGGAACACTCCTAATGGAGTATCACCCCCAGGTTTTTACGCTTTGACAAAATTCAATTCGATGACTGACGATTGGATTGAAAGGTAGACGTGAACCACTCGCTATAACCACTGAATCACGGGGGCTCTCCTATGATGCACTGCATCGCCATAAATGTCTGTTTGCCATGCGGTGTGATCGGGACCGGTGTCTTTGTAATAAAATATGTGGGACTTTAGGAATTGTCGCCTCGGACTTTCGAAATCAGATCATCGGACCCCATTACGGGGCTCGTGCGGGACTTTGGAAACCCTGGAAAGTCCTGGCATTTTTAAATGCCATTTTCCAGTTCTGTCAGCTTCAGCAACTACAGAAGAAATGGTTGCACTGTGGTAGTCATGCTTGCTACCCGCGCCAAGTGACTAGAGCAAACCCTGTGTTCTAACTAAAGTTATGTCGGGCTTGCGAGCCGACTCGACTGAAAGCAACTGGCTGCAATTCACTGCGACTGCAGTGCTTAGGTCGGTCGACTGCGACGCGACTGCCTGCGACTGGCCGCCACTAGTTGCTCGGAATAGAACAGTGGGCAACTGGACGCAACTAGTCGCTGCCGATCGCTTCGAGTTGGTCGAAATCCAGTTGCTTCCAGTCGAGTCGGCTCGCAAACCCGACATAAGCTCCCCTTAAGGTTCAGCACGCGTGCGGGAAGCTCTGTTACTGGCGTTCATCGTGCTGCGCTGCGCTATGTGATGTTTGAAGAGCGATCAACGTGCACGTCGGCAGCCTGTCAGCCGACGGTCGTGGGATTGAGCCGTGGCCGTGGAGTAGTTAAACCTCGTAGATTACGAGCGCCCACAATATTCCTCCGCCACGCCGTAGGAGATGAAGAGGTTGTTTAGATCTTCAGTACTGCTGTTCGAAGCTGCGATGATCAGGGTAGGGGATTCTGAGGAACGAATTGTGTTCTTCTATAACAACCGTTGACCGCTTCAGAACGCTTAGAAGAAAACATTTCTCTTATCGTTGTGTGAGCACGGGAAATACTTCGGCCAGCTTTAGCGGGTGGAAGTGCGCTGTGCACTACACTCTTGCTTGCCGTTTACCGTCTGTCCTACATTGAGCGCATCTCTCTGTAGGCGGCATTTGCTTATCCAAAGTTCATCATATTGATTTGCGTGATGTCCGTGTAATGCGTGTGAGGACACATGTCGTATTGAGACAGCCAAAGTATAAGAAATAGGTGTGAGGGTGTGTGTGTGTGTGTGTGTGTGTGTGTGTGTGTGTTAGTAAGGGGGATTGGGTGCTACAGTATTAATGTGTAGACGTGGTGTCTATTGGTGTATGAAAACGAAGGGATAGTCCTGTTTGATGTTTTAATTGCTGTATCGTGTTGTATAAAAGTGAACGTGTTACGCTTATAAGTGCTTACTAACTATGTGTCTATTTTGTATGTGTGATGCATATCTACCTTTATGTGTATTCATTAATTTATATAGGGCTGTCTCGCTAGAACTATTCCAAACAATAAATTCAAGACATATCGACGTAACCAAAAAGCTGCGTGCTCGGTTATCATTTGGAGCAGAGATTTATTTCTATATTACCTGTAAACCCTTCCGTGTTGCCGATTGCTCAGTTTAAACTAAATGTAAATCGCGATACCCGCATTTCACGCTTTGGACTTATGGTTTGATATATGAACGCATAACAAATCTAGGCGTTATAATTTTTGTGGCGACCATGCCAACCATCGAGCGCAAGCTAATTTTGACTCACGATACAGCACGCGGCGCGACAAGATGACGGAATGGTCAATGCATCGTCAACTCGCCGCTTTCGCGACAGTGCCAGTAAGTACAATATTGTGTGCAGGCCCAAGACTCGGTGCACTTCCAGTCCGCGTCCCTGTTCATATGTATGCATTATGCTGAAACCTCAGACCATCCATTCACAGCTTTCACTTCTGCTCACCCCGCCGCAGTGACCTGATATAGACTGCGTGCCCAATGGCTGACTGAGAATGGCAATGTTTCTGACCAAGCTAGCAATCATCCGATGAATCGTATCACCGAATGTGTCTCATTAGGCTGGACTCGACTCTCTAGCAAACATGCATATTTGTCTATATATATACAGAATAATCTATACCAATCTGATCACCATCGCTGTAAACAATGGAATTCAACGGAGCTTCCACGCTGAGCTTTGCAGTGTCTTCCAAGGTTCCAACTTCTAAATCTGACTTAGCCTCGCCTTGGCACATCCGATATCTACCACGCTTTAAATACCTGGGTAGCCCGCTACGCTGTGCTAATGACAAAACATCTCTGAAGAAGTGTTGAAAATTGCTATGTTATGGTGCATAATGGTTAACCAACTATCCTAACACCCTGTCGGATACAGTCATACCGTTAGTTGCAGTACACTCATTGTAGCAATTTTGGCTAATGGTCTGTATAATTAGTGAAGTGGCGACGCGAATCTAGTGTTCATAGTTGTGTGAATTATGATGGCATCTCTTAAACGGCAAATTTGTAGCAATTTTGCTATGGTCATGCTAACCAGTGTGGTAAGAGTGAGTTGGCCGCCGTAATCTCGCAGTGTCATAGCTGTGTGAATTACGCATCTTTAAACGACAAACCTGTAGTCATTCATATTAAATTTCAAATGCGGGCGTCATAACGATCATAAATATCTGACTCAAAAAATAATACTGCGCACACGTGTGTTTTGAAAAAAAACAATCAAGATACTCAATGTATTCACATGAACATGAAATCATTGGAAGTTTCATATTATAGATAGCAAGAGTATATTATAAATTCCGTACGTTTTTTCTTAATGGCTCTCTTCTCTTTTATTTCTTAATTGATGGATGTGTGGTTTTTATCTGCTACTACATTACGACAATCATAAAATCATGTTTATTTACGTTATTACATATTATGTTATACGTTTATTGGCTTCTAGTGTTTTCTGTAATGAAATTATTTTAATCACAAGGATGATAGCATCCGGAGTGAATAATAGAGATCTCTATTATTTACTCCTGATAGCATGTGTAACTTGTATTGTACAATAAATTCTATCTGGTGTTATATATTACATGAATTCTTTTGGTGGTGTCGATCTAGCTTCTCAACTACTTTTATTTTGTAAGTGTGTGCCAGCGAAAAAGATTGTATCGTGGCGACTAATTCAAAATCTTGTTAACCCGATCAATTCTTTTAGTTACTGTATCCACATAAATACTATGTAATGTATTTGGATTGTCTTTATGAACTCTTTTTCTGGAAAAGAGTACGTAAATATCTTACAGCTTTCGTATTGCTGCAGTGTGGTGCAATATTGGAAAATCGTGATTAATTATCAGTTAACTATTAGTTGTGTAATTAGAACTTATATCATTTTATTTACATACTGAATTTCAAAATATACATATGTCCACAAGTCGAGTGTAAAGCAAAGATCAGACGACGGTGGTGCAAAGCCTCGTATTAATATCAGGAGTGAATAATAATAGAGAATCTATTATTATTTACTCCTGTTAATATCATATCACTCAATTTCTAGTCTATGGAAAACTAGGTGTATGGGTATCACTGGAAATAATCTCACTGCATGAATTGATGAGCGCGTGTATTGCACGTCAATTTCTGTATTCATCTCAATCACAACTAATATCACTATGCATAATTATGTACATTCAAATGCGATGCCACACATAGACAATTCAAATTAGAGCAAGTAATGTGTAAGTAAGAAATATATAGAGACGCTAAACTAGAAAGAAAGAAGAGAAGTAGAGAGTAGTGTATTATTTCTATGTGTATAACAGTGGATCTTGTTTCATTATGTTAATTGAAATAATCCTAGCTGGGAGACATCTGTAAAGAGAATACCTTCGAACAACCTCGTTGCAAATGCAAGTGGTGTAATCATGAAAACAAGAATCTGTAAGTAAACGTAAGAACAGACTGAACACAAGACTTGCCTATACAGTGTATCTTGTCATGGACAACACATGGCGAGGGACACACAACTTCCTCTTCGTTCAGAATGCACAGAAAACGGGTGTCAAATATTTATCACAGCGTGTTCATCATTATTGTATAACAATATTCGTTCCTAGTAACAAACAGCACACATCGCGTTACTGAAACGAAGCATAGCACGCTAGTTACTAGCCAGCATATTTACATATTAAATCATTTTGTGAGCGAGTAAATGCGCGCGCACACGCACACATCCCTGTAGCAGCCTTCGCGAATTTTTATGTCCGCGAAATGCTCCGCGTTCGTCGTTCAGATCTCCCGTCTGCCACCACTGTCTATCACCTATTCCTAGAATACATGAGCAATTCACACAGTTGTTGCTGGTCCATGACAACCTCTTCAGACTCATCAATTACCAGTTGCGTGGTGGGGGGGGGTCATCAATACATAAACCTGTGGAGGTGCATTAATAGTTTCACAACAACCTAAATCCCTGGAATCCAGCCTATAATCAACAGATTTCAAGAGGTGAACTCTGGAAATCGAAAAAAAACATTTACGAAAAAGATTCAAACGAAACAGATCAACGAGAGAAACCGATGTGTTAGGTAATAAATCTATGAGGTTAAGCTTAGAAGGGACTAACTAGCAGAAAATGTATTTATAGCTCAGTCGCACATAATAGATGTTTATAAATACACACTCTTCATAGATTGTTCTCCAGTTCTACTAAATTGCTATCATACTTGAGACGCATTTCGGTAGTTTTATTCATTTCTAAATGATAGACGGATACGTCAGCATATAGCTACCACCGTAACATCAAAATTAACATTTCAAATAAACCTGCTCGTTCATAAAAACCTCTTGTTAATTTTAATACTGCAGGTAGTTAAAAGTGTACTGGCATATCCACACAGTTACGGTTCATCATGGTACAAAGAAAAACTTTGAATAGATGATTATTAAAACGGGATTTACAATTAAAATAACATAGTGCCTACAAGAAAATTTCTGCTCGTCTGCAACTTCCATTTCATGCACCTGCTCATTTCAGCTCATTATTATGCTTAGCCACAATGAGTTGTACAATGAGTGTCGTGACAAGTTGACAGCATTGAGCCACGACAAGGACGGGAAAACAAGTACTGACAAGTTATTATAAAATAATATGGAACTTCCAGCACCTTTACAAGACATCAGTCTCTTTTGGCACCACAAGCGTATCACAATTCGCTTGGAACTATAACTACAAATTTCATTCCAATTTGGAATCAAATATGAATCGATTTAAAACTGGTTAGTGGTGCCACCCACCCATATGCTGTATACCACTCAGGGGCAGCACTTTGTGCATCTGAATTAAAATCACACCTACAAGTGCAGTGTTGAATGACGAAATATCAACACTTGGTAATAAACTATGATTACATGTACTGATGCCATCTCACAGCCCTCATTTCAGGAATAAAAACAACACAAAAATGTAAATAAGGTAGCTGCTGTAGGTAACCTGCCAAGAATCTTGGAACTTTCAAGGACATTCACGAACAAAGGAGTAACAATTCAGTTACTTTGGCCATCTTTCAACAGAATTTTCCAATTACCATGCTTTCTTGATTCCCTCGAGAAAAACACTTGGTCCAATCGCCTTTTCGCAACTCTTCATTCTCTCTCTCTGTCTCTGCCTCTCTCTCTCTCTCTCGCTCTCTGCCTCCCTGTCTCTCGCTCTGTCAATGTCCAGGTGCTAATTGCAGGGAACGTATAGGGAATGCAGATGCTAGAAAATTACTGAACGTAATTTACAATGTATCGGCAGCATAGACAGGCTGTCAGATTTAGTCTATTGGCATGTCCCCTTCTTCTGAACTGGATTGACTGCTGCACTCCTCATCTTTCATTACCATTTCCTGTAGAAAATTAGTAACCACAATTTATTACCAAGTAGTTATGGACAAGCCATATTATTTACAATAACTTTTATCCTCATGATTATTAATTCACAATTTCTATAATTACATACACTGCTGAGAGACATCACAATGAAATAGACAAGCGCCGCAGAGCGACAGCGCTCACCTTACGGCAGGTGTTCTGATGCTAAACTCACTGGCAAACGAATCAAGAGCACCCTCCCATCGCCGCGTTTGCTCTCCCTCGTTGTCTCTCTCATTCTTTCTCTTTCGCTCTCCCGCTCTTCTTTCTCTTCCCTTCGCGCTCTCTCTCTCCCCTCCCCTCTCCCATCTCTCTCTCTCTCGCTCGAAATTTCACACTCATCTCTCTCGCCTCTCGATTTCTCTCTCGACTCAGATCACTCTCTCTCTCTATCTCTCTCTCTCTCTCTCTCTCTTTCTCTCGTTTCTCTCACACCTCTCTCTTACTTCCCTTCTGCTCTCCCCTCTTCTCTCTCGCTCCTGCTCACACTCACTTCCTTGTTGTCTCTCTCTTTCTTTGTCTTTGATCTTTCTCTCCTTCTCTCTCTCTCTCTCTCTTTTTTTTCTCTCTCACTTTTGGCACAGCGTTTCCCCGCATCGCGGTGCCTCTCTCTCTCTCTTTTCTCTCTTTTTTCTCTCGCTCTCTCTCTCTCTCTCCCTCTCCTCTCTCTCCCTCCTACTCTATCACTACTCTCTCTTCCTCTCCCTTCTCTCTCTCTTCTCTCTCTCTCTCATCTCTCTCTCTCTCTCTGTCTCTCTCTCTCGCTCTTCCTTCTCTCACCGCTCTCTCTCTCTCTCTCACTCTCTTCCCCTCCTCTCTCTCTCTCTCTCTCACCTCTCTCTCAATTTCTCTCTATTTCTCGAGCAGTAGCGCATGTCGGACGGAGGGCTGTGCCGTGATTGTTTCTTATCGGGACTGCATTGTCTGATGGGTCTTCTACACGCTAGCTCCAAGAACAACCGGTATGGCTAGGGGTTACAAGTACAATAGACAATCCGTTCGCACACAGCCTGGTCGCGGCGCTATTCTAACCCTTAGCAATGACCGTTTCGTGGAGCTAGCAACGGCGGTAACGTTTTTTATGCTCATCTTGCACATTAGTTCAGATTGCAGCTTGTAGAATTGTCGCTGTCATCGTCCCGCTCCGTCCGTCCAGCCGATCCGTCCGGGGGTCAACAGGTTGGCCAACGAAAATCTAAGTCCGCCTCGACGTACGGTCACGATATTCGGCACATTGAGGGGGGATCTACGTCAAAACGAGTTGGGGCTGTCGAAGCTGGGGCGTTAAAGGTCAAGGTCAAGAGGTCGTAAAAAGAGAGGCGACACCATTCCACTCTCTTAAGCTTAGGTATAGCGGAGAAATGCGAATGTGCCCGCGCTCAAATCTAACACGACTCGAACCTAGGCTCGTTGATAGTCGGTGTATCGCCTCATGGTAGCGAAAACAGCCATCACTTAGTGCGAAATGTGAGGTCACAGCGGATCAGTAAGGACCGAGGGCAGAGAGGGGCTCAAGTAGGCACAGCGGCAGATTTTAGACATTTTCTGAGGACATGGTCTGACGAGCAATTTGGACAATTTTTTGTTTCAGGCGGGCTGACCTAGCATTTCTTATGGACATTATTTGGAAAGGAACATGAATCTACTTTCTGCTGACATGCACGGAAGAGTAAGTGTCGAGATACCTTTTGGACCCATCCAAGCAGGAGGGTTAAACATGGATTTGTTGACTGTCTGTTAGAAAGCAATTGACTGCCGGGGTTGCTAGATAGAATCCTATACAATGCCTGGATGTATGAGGCTACAATCGTCTACAGGTTGAAATTTCAAAAGTACAATTGGTTAAAGAAGGTTTATGGGCTCCATTAAATCGTCAATGTAATTTATAATTGCATTCTTGCTTTGGAGTTGTCAGTATGTTTACAGTGTAACGTATGCTCTGCAGTGGCTGTCGCCGGAGTCTAGCAGTGGAAGAGCGTGAGAGAGAGGAGGAATGTGTGTGAGTAGAGAGAGAGAGACGTGAGAGAGAGGAGAGAGGCGATAGCGATGTGAGAGAGAGAGAGTTGTTGCGACTTAGAGAGTTAGGAGGGAGAGTTACCAGGTGGGTCCGAGTTCATGCATCGTGATATTGCGACGGCAGCCTGTAGGGCTTGCGTAGAGTAAAATGGATGAGTGCTCATACCTATTCTGGTTTGAAGGGTGAGTATGTATGGCTACACGTAATGAATGGAAGCTTCCATCTTTAATTCTTGAAGACACTGATGAACAGTACGCGCGATCTTCGTTGGCCAACTTTCATAACGATCCCAACGAACATTCTTATGGAGAAGGCTTCGTGAGTACCGAGATCCCTGTGCATTCCACTGTTTCGGCCTGCGTGTAGTGTGAAACACATTTTGGGACTAGAACAAGGGGTTTACTAAGGAATCCCACATCACCACAGAGTCACCGGCAGTTAGACGTTGTAAGCATGAGCGCTGTCGTCTGATAGGCAGGCGGCACTTGTTATATAACTTGACATAAATGTGAGAGAA